GGAGGCCGCCCCCCGCCCCCGGGAAGTTGTTACGGGAAAAGATGCAAACGTCGCCTGCCTGACGGGGGCATTTCCCGAACCCCCCGTGGCTCTGGCACGGCAACTGTGGAGAATCGGGAAAATGGAAACGCGGCGCCGACCCGCCTCGTTCCTCGCCTTTTCATCAAGTTTTCCGATCCCCCCAGCTCCTTGGGTTGTTGGGTTTTTTTCCTCCCCCGCAAAACCCTCTTCTCTTCTAATAAACCCGCTCTCTGGGTGTTGTTTGCGCGTTGAATAATTTCAGGGGTGATTCGCCAGGACACAGATGTCATCTTTCAGCCCGTCTAATTTAGTATTAATAATTAGCTTCATAGCGCACTTCTGAAATGTAATTCTCAAGTGCTTTGTCAAATGCTTGTCTTGATCAGTGAGGTTGCTTTTTTTTTTTTTTAATAGTCTCTTATTTTAGTTATACTTTCAGTTAAGTTCTTATCTCTTGATCCAATCTGGAAACTAGGAAACTGGTGCATACGGGGAGGTCTTGTTTTCCGCCAGTTAGCGAAGACCCCTTTCATGAAACTGTTTTATTATTATTTTTAAAGTAATACTCTGCTTTTTGGTTTTTTTGGACAGTGCTAATGTGCCGAGGGAAGGCAACTCAGGATTTTAAAGGTCCAGATTGTCGCTTTGTAAATTTTAAGAAGGGAGAAGCGGTGTACGTATATTACAAACTAATAGGAAAATCAATCGAGCTCTGGGCTGGAAGTGTAAGTACTGTAAAGCATTTGTTCTGTTTGCTCTTCTTGGCGCTTTTTGTTGGTAATCTTTTTTACTTCCTTTTGCCTCATGGAAGAACGCTTAGGGTTTTGAACATAGCTAAATAACATAATGAATGCCATTTTGTCTTGAGACCAGTGTGAAATGGGATGCGGTTTGATCAAACCCAGGGCATTAAGTGCTGTGAAAAATGGGCAACGCTAATGTGTGTTTAAAAACTGTTAGAAAACTGCCCTTGTGTTGAAAATCTCCCATTGCAGAACTGTAAGTGGTAGTCCGTGAGCCTGCCTGGAAGCTGAGCCTCCCTTCCCATCTAGGGAGGCTTAAGCTTGTGCTTGTGTTTACCCCTGACGTGGTCTCATCCTGCGCTCTGTAATCCTGCTAAAAATCATTCCATGTACGTGTTCTAATCATGTTTCTCTTCCTAATATTCGGCTGCTGTCTTCCCCTTTTTATCTAAGCTGCATGCAGAATTGGAGGAAAAAAAGTAATAAAACTAAAAAGAATTAAGGTAAATTTGATTTTTAGAAGGTCTGTCTCTCTTTCAGCTTTAGTAACACATTGTAGCAGCTTGCAGAGTAGTGGCCTTGTCCAAGTCGTCGTCGTCTTTGGGCAAAGAGAGGGTTAATGGGAAAGGAGGGTCCCCATACTTGCAGTTATTTCATAGAAAACTCCTCTCGGCTTTCATGATAAACACCTTATTTGCCTGACAGAAGCAGAAGTGAGATACCCTGGAGGAAGAGCAATTTTTGTGGACTTCCCTTGAAAATGCTGGCAGTCTGGAGGTTGCTTAGACCTAGTCCCTGTTGCCCCCTCCCCATGCTTCCCCTACATACCTTTTTGTGTCCACATCATTTCCTTCAACCTCCTTTCTTACTCTGGTCTTCTACAAGGGATAGCCAATTGCCTGCGACAGTGGTCTAGGCTGCTCGACGCCACACCTGGGTGTGGGACTAGTGGTTTAGTGAAAAGCAGGATGTATCACTTTCTCTAACCTGTTCAGGCTGGGTGTGGACAGCCAAGCTCTCAGCAGGAGCTGAATCCAATTAGAATGATACAGAAGAGAGCAGAAAACTGCAGCACGTGGTTAAAGAAGAGTTTATAATTGTATCATGCTGGTAATTCCCTTCTGACATGTACTGTACCATAAATAATCTGGTTAATTAGCCGGTACAGGTTTCCAGGGCTGCCAGTTCTTGAGATGCAGAGTAGAAATGTGGGGCCAATTTTGCATCTTCTAACAAGGTGTAATGCAGGCTGCAAGATCAGACAGCAGGTTTAAGGTAATTGCTGAGCTAATATTCAGTTTAACTATTCACTGATAGGAGGCTCATGCAACAGATAGGTGTGTCTCCAAGTTAAAAGGATGTTTGCTTTAACAAGTAAAAGCTGAAGTTGGCAGATCTAAAAGAACTGCAAAGCTCCATTTTATTTGTTGTAATTTTTTAATTGTGTTACACTATTTTCTATGTTCCTTTTAGGGCAGCGATGACAGACTAATTCCTTTCAGTTGGTGTCTATAATCCTTGTTTCTTTTTTCCCTGGTTTGATTGACTGCTTCTGCCTTCATCGTAATACTGCAACAACCAGTTTGCAAATGCTGCAGCGGGGTCAGAGGTGCCTACCTTTGCATGTTGAGTAGGACACTGTCACGTCTGACCCTGTCCCTGACTTGCAGATAGCGCTGGGGTCTCTCTCCTGCAACGTGACTTCCCATGCCAGATTGGGCTGGGCAACTTGATTTATGCAGACCAGCCGTGCCTGCTGTGTGCAGTCTTGGAGCTAGGGGGAGGCTGTTGCTTGCTAATTAAAAACAGGCTACTTAGTGAGGTTGGCCTTCAAACAAATTCCAATGAAAGACATGTTACCTTCTGCCGCAGCCCTTTTGGGATCTCATCGCGTGACTTTGTGTGCTCCTGTGTGTCACTTCATCTCGTGAATCTACCCTACTGCCTTTTTCCATTCCGCAAAGTTTTGGGGGAATAATGGCATAGGGCATAATGGAAACTATGAAATCAAGGGATAACTGGTATTCTGATCTTTAGATGGGTACAGACGTTAGGGGAATGTGTGTATGAGAAGCTTCAACTACTGCAACCTGGGGCTTATTTCAAACAAGTTGTAAATACAGGCTTTAATCCTGAAATCGATTTTGAGGAGCCGTCAGAAATACGATAGTATTTTTGACCTGAAGGGAGATGATCTGATAAGAAAGGAGCCTTTCCCCAAGCCTGAAAAATCTATAGCAGTTGGGTCTGGGCTTTATTTGCCTTTGCTTTTCTAATTCACCCTGCCTTTTTCAAGCCATTGTTGATTTTTTTGCCCTGTGCCAGCAAACATGCTGTATTTTAACAAAATAGATCCTTTATTTTATGATCCCAGTCTCGTATACTTTATTGCTTGCAGAACTCCCATTGAGCTTAGTGAGTATTTTGCATGGGAAAAAATTCTGGAACCCAGCTATAATATATATTCTATACATGATGTGACATGCAGTTTTTAGCAGAGCTGTCTAAGCCTCATTAATAAAGCAAAGCCAAATGCTTGGACAATATTCTGTGACCATTATTTAATAGTGATTTTATGTTCTGAATTTCACGAGTTCCTCAGTTCCAGGAAAATACTTGATTTTTTTCCCAAAGCCGAAAGGTGGAGCACATCTGGTGCTCTCATTGTCCAGTGCACCCTGTCCTGCTCTAAAACTAGTCTCTTCTTCAGCACCCACCTCACATTGTTTACACTGCCAAGTTGTATTATGTAGACTTTCCTCCTACGCAGTTCTCCTGCACTCTGCCCTCATCTTTAGCAGAGTCCAGACCTCCAAAACGATTTAAGGTAATTTAAATGAAAGTGCTGCTTTTTAACAAAACATTTCAGCAAAGACACTTTGAATTCTTGCTGCAGAAGATTGTTATTTTATCTTGCAGCAAAGGGCTGAACTTTATTCCTTTGATTCAAATTGAGAAAACTATTTCTGATTTCATCTTACAAGAAATGGACTTGGCTGCATGCAGGTCATGTTTTTTTGGGTGGTTGATTATTTTTTAGTTTGTTTTCAAATCTTAAACATAGGGTAGTAGAAAGGAAGACAGGTGGGGTAAATTTAAAGTAAGACAGAATATGTCTGGAGGACCCAGAGGATCAGGGAATTTGTTCCTTTTGTTTCTGTGTTTTCTTAACAATGCCAGCGTTCAGAAAGGGCAGACCAAACCGACTCCCTTCTTTGACCGATGTTCTGCAGTTTTAGGTACCTGTGATGCCTGTGCTTTAAGGATGTGGGCTTTAAGATTAAAAACATTTGAACATCTTGTTTCCCAGCTGTCTGTGTTCTGTCACTGAGGTAGGTGGTGTGAGAAGCTGGTTTCTTGCTCGGTGGTGGTCAGTGAATCTGCCGCAGCTGGCTGCCACACGTGGGGACAGATGCTGTACGCACAGCTATGTGTTTTGTCCACCCACGGCATTTTAGCTGGGAAGGGAGTGGAACTGAAGGATGCACTCTTTTCTCCCATATTTACTTGGCATTCATCGTGCCTTTCCTCTATCGTATCTGTAGAGAATGAAGAATGTTTCCTTTATTTGCACAATGGGGCATTTTTTCCCTTACAAGAGAGGACTTGTAGGGAGAGGAGCAGATGAAATTTTGGGCATGCAGATCCCATATGGCTCGTAAACCATGTAAGTGGCAAACTGGGTCACTGCAGAGGATTTGTGTGGTCAGCAGCTTGGATTACACTAAACGAGTTTCAGATTGTGATGCCTAATTATAATGGTAGTCACGGAGATTAGTCTGTAAGGAGGCTACTTCGAAGCTTTGACTTTTGTTTTCAGAAAGATGATTTAAAACTGGAATAGAAGTTTGTAGAGAGAAACAGGCCAATTTAGAATAAAACTGTAGTATACTGCACAAAGACAAGCTTTTGAGTTGACTTAGTTTAATTTCCCGTTCCCAATAATAAACCTGCATACATTATCTCTTTTCCATAAGAGAGTATCTCTGTGTGTTTACAAAAGGTGGGGAGGTAATAGATTTGGTTTTTTATATATGTATAACTAACTTCAGAGATCTCAACTATGGAAGGTAAGATTTGAATGAGAAATAGTTAAAAAAGGAAGCCTCATAATGTGTCAGTGCTTTGCTTACATAACAAAAAAAGAAGGTATTAGTACATATTGTTTACTGGATATACAATTTTCTTTTTTTTTAAATCCAGAAAACTTCAGGTCAGGTGAGCCTATTTCAGTGATACCAATGTAACAATACATATATCTATATATCCCTAATTATTTTGACATAACTGGCTTCCTTTTTAATTTGATCTTTAACTGAGTGCTCTTCCCAAATAAACTTTTCAAGAAAATTGGCAATTGTCGTCTCCCTCCTGTAACAAAACATTGAGGAAATGACCAACACTTTCCCCCCCGCCCCGCCCCCGGATATTTTGGTCGTCTAGGAACTCTGTACCGTTCTAGGTGTGTCCACCACGCTCTAATTGCCTGCATTATCTAATCTGCGCAGTGATAGCATGCTATTAATATTGGCTTCTTGACAGCCGTTGTCAGAACTCTCAAGTGAGAGCATTACTGTGTAGATCTTATCCAGTGAGTGATAAAAGAGATTCTTGTCTTCCACTGTTTGCCTTGGCTTAGCAGGTTGACTTGCTTGAAAATAGCCATCTGCAACTGATTTTTGCTTGTATTAGTCACTGAAGAGCAACGATGCATTTGCAAAGGTATATTTTCCACGCAGGTTTTAAAATAGATTATTACCTGAGGTACAATTTTGCATTTTCCTAAAATCTGCTTTAAGAAATTTTTTTTTTTTTTTGCTTAAGCTGCAAAGTGAGCGTATTTCAGGCTATAATATTGTGCGTGGATGTAAATCTTCTTAGTCGAAGATCCTCTTCTGCTTACTACTTGAGAAAATATCTGAGGCATATATGGTGCCAATGAGAATGCACATTAGCAGTTAAAGCACGTGAGCCAGAATGCTTGGGCTTCACTCCCAGCTCTCCTAATAATTTGTAATAAGTCAGGCTTTAAAATATGAACAGTGAAGTTGCTAAGTTTTACAAAGGTGTTGTGAAATGTAAGTATAAAACCTCAATGAAAACTCTTGCATAAACAAGACATTGCTAATCTTTTTCTTTTATTCACTGTATTAAACTTCATCTAGAAATACTTGAGAGTGAGTTTGACGTGTTTGTTACTAGTGTCTGTAATTAGGATTTTAACATAGTCATGTGATCTCAAAAGCTTCTTTACTGCTCTTTGTTTGCTTGTGTTTGTTTTCTGGCAGGTTGGAAGTGATTTTGGATATTTTCCAAAGGATTTACTTGAAATAAATCATAATTATTCCAATGAGGAGCTAGAGTTACCAACAGATGTAAGTCTTGTTATTTTTTAATTGGGCTGCTTACTGTTTTTTTGGCATTCAATAAGATCCCTGAGGAGGAGAATGGGAATATCAGTGATCCTTAGATATCTTTTGTTAGGAAGCAGGTACATATGTGCAGAGACGCAGATATGTGTTGGGGGGTGGAATGTTTGTGCAGATATGTATGTCGATGGGTGTGTAAGCATCAGCCCAAAATATGGGCATTGATCTTTCTCTTCTTGAATATTCTGGTTTTCTTCTAACAAAATCTGTTTGGATTGAGCTCTAGAAATGCTGCTAGCTGGCTCGTACCTAGGCTGTTTGGTATATATTCAGAATTCTTTCTTTTCCCAAACTTTAGAAGTTTAAAGTATTCTCAGAAACAAACAAAACCAGATACACTGTTAGCCCTTTGATTCTAGAATTGGTCCTTGCACACATAAATGGCTTTCATGCACTAAGACCTAGTCACTCCAGAGTTGTGTGAATAAGGCCTCTTTGTGGATGCAGCTTCAGACCCTTATGAAATCCTATTCAGTGGTTTGCACTGCTGTTTAATTTATTTTTCAGAAATTGTGCGAGAAGCAGCTCCTGCTTGGAGGACCTGGTCATTTGAGGAGAGACCAGCTAAAAGAGACTGGGACAAACAAGCTTAGTGATGCTTGTTTTCTTCTCCTCACTGGCATTCAGCAATAGACTTGTTCTTAATTCAGGATGTACGTGATGAGTAAAGTATAATACTGTCAAGTCCATTGCTGACTTCCAGTTTGTTCCTCACTAGGAGGTCTTTGATGGGGCTAACCCATGAGCTTTTTATTTAGGGTCCTCGGGCAAAACTTCTACTGATTTCAAAGAGAGTTTTGGTTAAGTAATCAAGGAGTTAATTCTGCATGATTAATATAATTTACTTTGCTGCTGCATCTCTCTCTAACCAATAAAATGGATTTGGTCTCATGACTGTAATAAAGAAAATAATATTTGTGACTACATACTGTTTTTCATTTCAGGAAACAGACTTTGTTTGCTTTGATGGTGGAAGGGATGATTTTGATAATTATAATGTGGATGAGCTTTTGAAGTCATTGCAAGAGACAATAGCAGATGAAGGGGAAACTGAATCAACTGATCCAGGGACAAAACCAGCTGAAGAAACCGAAAGGGATGAGGAGATTGAACAGGTTGATACAGTAAAGTCCCTTGATGCTTTTGAGACAGACAATCTTGAGCTAAGCACAGAAGAAGACAAGGAAGCCCTTGCCATGACAGAGGAAGTAGACAGTTCTCCTACAGAAGAAACTGAAAATACTGGGGGAGACTCCACTGTCAATAGTCACGAAGAAAACTCTCAGGGAGATCAAATTGCACATGAACACTTGAAAGGAATGCTACATGGGAAACTAAAAGGGCTAGAAAGTGAAAATACCAAAAACACTAGTATTCCTCAGGGTGAAACCAGTCAACTTGACAAAGAGAGTGAAGAAGTCAATGCCTATACACTTTTAAACAGAGAGCTCTCTGTGAACTTGAAAACAAAATTTGGCTCAACTGCAGATGCTGTTGTATCAGACGATGAGGTGACTCGCCTTGTTACATCACTGGAAGATGATGTTAATGAAGATTTGAGCATTAATACGCATGATGCAGAGGAGGAGCCAGACTTTGCAGATCAGTCTGAAGAAATCCCTTTGCTGTCTTTTACGGCAGAGGAAGAAATTACATCTCTCGCAGATTTAGAAGATGATGAAAACGATGACATTGAGTCACAAAATCATGAACTTGATGAAGATGCAAAGGGTGCTACAGAGCTAAATAACCAAAGAGACAATGAGGAAGAACCCGATTCAGATGCGTTAATTCTTAAGGATGCCTTCAGTAAGAGCAAGAAGTTGGATGACAGTATAAGTGTGGACAGGTTCGAATCTAAACAAACAGAAGAGAAACAGGATGAGGTGATGCTAATTAGTAAAAGTGAAGCACCAGCAACAACTCAACCTGAGGATCTCTCCAAAGAACTCCTTAGAAAGGAACCTGTAGGTACAGGTGATCTGGGTTCAAAAGAAAAAACAAACAAAACTGAACAGTTTGAAGAGCAGCTCACGGTTGATGGAACTGAGTCACATACTGAAGAGGTGAAGAGTACAGCTGTGCCCGATCCTCATGTTTTGCCTAGTCCAGGAGATGATCTGGAGTCCAAATCATTTGTTAAAAGCAAGCAAGATGCTTTAAAACCACCTGTTGGTGATATTAACAAAAGTCCAGAAAGAGTGCTGCTTGCTCAAATAGAGAAAGATGAGAAAAAGTTTAACGATGACACCTTGGAAGACGTCTTGGAAAGTGATTTAAAGCACAAAAAGTTATGGGAGAAAACAAAGGAGAAAGGAAGAGCTGAGAACAAGCCTTCTGTTGATGTTCCAGCCAAACCAGTGAAAGAGGTAAAAAATGCATCTCAAAGTGACTTAGGAGATACTGACCTCTTGAAAGAGAAACTGGAGCATGGAATGCCTGCTGTGGAGAAAGAACTTCTGAGACATGAAGAAGATTTGAAACAAACAGGGGAGACCGATCATGAAAATCAAAAAACCACCTCGCTTAACAAAGAACCTGAAATAAAAAGGAGAAACATGAAAGAAACCCCTGCAGGGGAGGGAGACCCAAGCCATAGAGGAGCTGTTGAGCAACCTAGGCCATGGGAAAATGAGACTGAGTATTCAGGGGCAGATGTGAAAGAAGAGCTTTCAAGAAATCTTGGCAAGATGACAGTATTTGAAGAAAGCATTGAGAAAAGTTCCCCTGAAGAAAAATCAAAAAGCACTACACAGAATACTAATACAGAGAATCCTACTCGGCAAGGAACTGCTCGTACTGAGGATGCAGATTCAGACAGAAATCTTGGCACAAATTTAGCTAAAGAAAGAACACTAAGACCAGAATTGCAATCCGAAGAGCCAGATGCTGAAGACGACCCTGACCTGAAACAAGTAGAGGAAGAGCTACTGGAAGATGAGAATGCTGCAAGTGCAAAGCTGTCGCAAGCAAGGGCTGCAAATGTACAGGGTGATACACTAAATGTTAAAAGTACAAACCCTGAATTAGAAGTACTAAGTGAAGCTGTTTCGGGAACTGCAAATCCTACTTATAAAACAGGAGAGGAAACAAACGCATTTTCTAAGGAGGCTAAAAAAACGATCAGCATGCAAGATACAAGTGAGACTGGGAACAAAGAGGTTCAAGTACCAGTGAGTGAAGATGCTGAATTGGATGAGATGGAACGTGTCATGGAAGATGATGAGGCGTCTTCTGAAGCTGAGGACCCATCAGCTGTGGAAGAACATAATTTCCAATCTCCTGACACGGAAGACAACAATGACTTTATCCAAAGGAAAGATCATCTCCCAGAGGGCATTTCACAGGAAGACTCAGAAGAGGTGCAAAATTTAGAGCATAGAAGAAACCAGCAATCTGCACATTTCCCCAGCCCTGCTGACAGCTCAGCAGCCACAAATGACACTGTAACAGACTTCAGTGAGTCTGTGAAGCGGCTCACAATAATGAGAGATTTTCTTGATGAGAAGCGTGTAATACGTCTACAAAAGTACCTTGGGCTTCAACACGTGGTTAGGATAGAAGCCATGTTTCATGACATGGAGGTAGAGATGGAGCTTGCTCGGAAGGCAAGCCATAATAACGAAGATCTAGAAAAAGCTTTGGACCAGATACTTGAGTTTTCAGAATCGAGCATTTTTTTTTCTGGATTCCAGAGTGGCAGAAAATAAAGAGGAGGTGGTGAAAGAGATGGATTTGTATGATGAGGAGAGCGCGCTGATGGATGATGTTCAAGAATTGATATATTCTTTAAGAAGTAAATATTCATCTGCTAGTGAGAGTGTCCCACTTGCATCTATTCCGGAACAGGAAGATGATCAGCTGCATGTTCAAGGTAGGATGTTAAACCAGTTAATAAATAGATGAAATGGAAGTAAAACCCTAGCCCTCAATACTCTGTAACCCGGAGAAGCTTTAAGAAGAGGGTGAGGGACCAGAATTGAAAGAGGCCCTGTGGAATCTGCTGGGATTTTGCTTATTTTTAATGCTTATTTTTGGCATGGTGATGGGTGTCCCAGGGACAAATCCTGAGAGAAAACATTGAGCTCAGCATGTCTGTTCTTGTGGGCCAGGTTCTGTGTAAGATAAGTGGGATCCGTGCATGGATATGGCTGGAAGAAGCCATTCAACTCATGTCTATACCTCATCCTCTCAAGAAATAGGGATTCACATATATTAATGCGCTGAATTTTCCGGAGGGTTTAGAGCAGTCTTTTTTTCTGAACTAGCTAGTATCTAATTATGAGAGATCCAGTGATTAATGCAAAGCTCAGGCACTAAATCCATGCACCTAAAATGTCAGGTGTCCCTGTCATCATATTTTTGCCCACATTCATAAAAGAGTGCTTAAGTAGAAATACTGAACAAACAGATCTTTTGATGGGGGAAGAACCAACGGTAGAGTCTGCTGCAAACTTGCTGTTTTTTCTAATTAATGTGCAAGGTGGTAAGATGCGCTCTTAGCAAGGCTCCTTTTACAGTAGTATGTGTTAAGTATGTGATTTCTGATAAAGTCACGAACAATGAAAATATTTCATCTTGCAGTATTTCCTTGTAAGGTCAGTGGTTGATACATTGCATAAATTCAATATAAACATTTAATTAGATGTTACTGAAAGTTGATTGAGAATATATTGGAAGCTGAAGTATTTAAAAAATGTCAAGAAAGCTTTGTCAAATGCAATATTTCACTGGAGACACATGTGGGTAAGAAATACACATTAGCTCAGTGCTTAATTCATATCTCCCTCTCTGTCACAGATGGTGCAAAAGACGCTGAATATGACAGAGTTTCCATCAGAAACCCAAATGCCATTGATGAGAACAATCAGGAATTTCATCAGCTTCAAGATAGGAGGCCACAACAGCCTACTGAGGAGAAGGAGGAGAGGGCTGTTAATGTTCCACCTGAGCATGAAGAGGCCAACTTCTTGCATAATAGAGAAGCCGAAGAAGGGTACGATAGTGAAAGAGGATCGCTGCTGGAAGATACTTCCTTTGGGTCAATTGATTCAGGACAGAGTGCCAGGGAAGATATTGCTGCAGGTAACCTTTTGGAATTGGGTTATTTTGTTCTTTTACTCTTAAAGAGGAGCATGGTTGAATGGTTTTTAGGCAAATACCAAGGTTTTTCACTAATATTTTCATTGTATGTTGCTGTAATCCTAATGGCTTTCACTAATCTGTGACAGTCCCTCTAGTGGCAGTTTTGTCTCGCTACCACTCATCTCAGCAGAGAGGTTTTTCTACTACCTTTTTGCACTAGAGAAATAAGAAAAGTTCTCCTGTAAGTGTTATAGTCTGAGCTCGGGCTGATGGACTGTGTCTCAGGATGGTAGTGGATAAAGAGCAGAAATCACTGGAAGCATACTATCAGGCCAGGTTTCCTCCTCCTTGCAGGGGGACTGACAGTCTAACCATTAGGCTATAGAATCATGCGCTCTGTCTTCTCGCTGTTTTTAATTCTGGCTAAGGTGTTTATTGAAGTAGGAGAAATGCTTGACTCTGTTCCGCTGAGGCCTTCTCCCTCTGGAGCGAGTATGCTGACCTGTGCTGACTTGTCATTACGCCAAGGAGGGATCCCATTACTATCATGTTCCCCAGCTCTGTTTTGGCATGAAACTGCCTTTGAGTCCATTCTTGTTACTAAGCTGAGCTTTGCTGTTCTGCATTCACCTCCGATTGTGCTTAATAAATGCGTCTTCACTGAGCATTTAGAAAAAATTCAGGCACATCTTGCTTAGCTTTTGTACGCTACTGAGGTACTGTACTGTCCCCATAGCCAAGCACTTTTGAGCAGCTTCTAAGTTCTGAGGGAAACTCTAGGTTGAACGCAAAGATACCTAATGAATTTTAAATGGCTGGTGGATTACATATGTGATTAAGCAGTTGGATGTTCAGTTGTATTTTAGACCATTTTCCCTTCCTTCCTTAATGGTGGTTAAATGCTGTTTGCTAGGAATTCCTGTGAGGACTGCTAGAAGTGCTGAGAAGAAACAGAGCAGACGCTTGTAGAACCACTGGTCGCAGCAGCTGTTCCACAATGTAACAACAGGCTGGGCAGGTGGTTATTTGAATCTGCTAGCCTGAATTCATGGCAACAGTAGCAGTGAGGGGAGGAGGCAGGTTTCAGATCAGGGTCGAAGTAAAGACGGTTTAAAGCTTATGCCGTACTAACAGTGCTGTAAACTTATTAGAAGACGTAGGTTTATTGATTAGGAATTGAAGAGAGTGTGCTTTTTATGTTGTTGTTGACTTGCTGCTGAAGGAGTTGTATGTGCTCTGTCTGAGGCAGGCTTGGCAAAGTGACTTTGTGTATCTGTGTTCCTCTCCGCGGTACCTTTTCTAAAGCAGCCTGTGGAATATCACTGTCCCTTCTAAGGACTTTTGACTCTTTCTTCAATGTCCTGGAGAACCGGGGACCGTAATCTGAAATCTCGCCTAAGACGCCGCAGAAACCCCGGTGTAGCGGGGGCAGAAGCGGGTTCCCGGTTGCAGCTCTGCCCTGTCAGCAGGCCCTGCTGGCGACGGCTGACGCGCGCGCGGCCGCTCCGTCAGGTAACACCTCTCTCCCTCTCCCTCCAGACCCCGACGAGAGCGCCGGGCGGCCCGCAGGACGCGGGGCG